TATTTATGAACTTGACGAGTACAAAATACATGCGTGCTTTGGTGTTTGACAAGCTTGGTCGTGATCCGCCTCCACCACCACAGATTTCACATGACTTATGGCATTAGTATGTATTAACTTGTAATCCATTTGGAAAACTTAATCCATATAGGTAGTACTTTGAATGTTTTTTGTAACGCACATATATAACTAGTGTGCAGTGTTTTGTAACATATGGTGTGGATGTCTTTTGTCAATTATGTATGTGGAAAACAATAGTACACCTAAAAACAATAGTCCACATATGGTGTGGATGTCTTTTGTCCATTTTGTCAATTATGTACGTGGAAAACAATTAGTGTGCAATGTTTCTTTACACTTTTTTTGTATTCACATTTTCTATTCCCAAAATAGTTCTTATCGCAAAGTACATTAGTTTTCTTTACACTATTCAATTTGGACTGGTTTTTTCGTTTTCTTTGTATTGGTTGCAGCTATACTTCAAGATTAGGAAAAGTCTTACAAATACCTATCAAACACCAATAGTTGGAAAAAAAACAAAATTTTCAATAGAAAACAAAGCCAATCAAACTCCAAAAGGTGGAAAATCTCAATATTTTCAAGGTAGAAAATTATATCATTCAAACACAATTAATTGACAATTCTCAGGAAAACGATTTCTAGGCAATTCAATTCCCTGAAATTCGTTTTTTTTCCACTCAAATTACACTCTTGCTATCAAACGGACACTAAGGGTCCGTTTGATTGCAAGGGTGGAAAATTTGTGGAAAGAAAATGTTTTACAGGAAATTGATTTTTCTAGAAAATGTTTTACTGAGAATTATAATTAATTGTGTTTGATTGATATAATTTTTCATGGAAAATGTTGAAAGTTTGATGTCCATTTGAGTTCGTTTTTTATGGAATTTGTCCATTAAAGTGATAAATTTTTCTACCATGGGGTTCAAAATTTGTTCCAATTGTAAAAAAAATTTTGAAAAAAAAAAATTACCACTCCGAATATCATTCATTTGACTTTGTTTTCATGAAAGTTGTCAATAAAAGTGAAATTTTTTTTTACCACTATATGGAATTTGTTCCCATTGCAAATAAAA